TCTCCTGTTATTGCTATTGAACTGAAGAGAGTGTCAAGTCCAGACAGGCTGGACAGTTTTGAGGACCTCACTACATTCTCCTGTTATTGCTATTGAACAAGTGTATTTATTCACTTTAAAAATTTCATTGTTTTCTTCTGCTTACACTCTTTGGATATGGGTCACTCCTATTTGTATTTCAGTCCTAAATTGACTGAACTTATCAGGCATGCGTCTCAACTTTTTTTCACTGAAATATGTGCAGATACTTGAGCATATACGTGATAATGTCTAATGTTATACTAGCTTTCCATTCCTTCTAATATATTATGCAGTAAATCTTTTTTATTTTCTTTTTTAGAAAGATGACTGGTGAGGGCATCTTAGCCACCAAGTGAGCCACGGGATGGCCCCTAAATCTTATCTTTTCCATTATCTCTTTTATGTTGATTCTTAGTTTTATTTAAAAATCAATGTCAGATTCCTTTCCACATCTACAAATGCCTACCTGAATCCGATTGGATTCACATTCACCTTAACATTTAGTGGGCATCCACTTCATCTAGATTGTGTGAGCCATTCCTGGGACACCAGCTTCCAAATACAGTGATGGGGGTACAGTGTGATGTTTCCATACATGTATACATTGTGGAGTGAGCAAATCAGAGTCATTAACATATCTACTACCTCATATACATATCATTTTTCAGGTAAGACATTTAAACTAGTCTTTATAAAACAACTTTGAAATATTCAATAAATTTTAATGAAGAATATTTATCATGCTGTGTAATACATCACCAGAAGTATTTCATTCTGCCTGATAGTTTGTACCCTTTGATCACAGGGAAATGCAATTTAAAACTATGATGAGTCTCATCAGACGTGTTAGAACAGGTATTATCAAGAAGATAAAAAATAACAAGTATTCATGAAGGTGTGAATTCACAAGGTGTATTAGAACACCAATTTGGAAAGTAGCATAAAGTAGTCACAAAGCTAAAATTAAAACTACCAAATGATCCAGCAATCCCAATTCTGGGTATATGTCCAAAGGAACTGACAACAGTATGAGAAAGAGATGTCAGCCTTCCCATGTTTATGGCACCATTATTCACAACAGTCAAGATATCAAAACTACAGAAGCACTGATCAATGAATGAAGGGATAAAATAAATGTTTACATATAAAATAAAATTCTACTCAGACATTAAAAAGGAAACAAATTGTCAATTGTGGTAACATGGAAGAATCTACAATACATTGTGTTAAATAAAATAAGTCAGGTACAGAAAGACAAATACCACTTAAATTTACTTATATGTGGACTATTAAAAAGTCAAACTAATACAAATAGAGAAGAATGAAGTTTACCAAAACTGAGGGTTAGGATGGGGTAAAATATCAGTAGGGATGAGTTGGTCCAAGAGTTTGAAATTTCACTTCGGGAGGAGGAATAAGTTCTGGTGATCTATTACACAGCATGGTGAATAGTTACTACTAATGTATATTTCAAAGTTGCTAACACAGTGGATTTTAAATCTCACCACAAAGAAATCAGTGTATCAGATAATGAATATGTGAATTAACCTGATTTAATAATTTCACAATATATACATGTGTTGAAACATCAAGTCGTACCTCATAAGCACATACCATTATAATCTGTCAAGTAAAACAAAATAAAAAAAAAAATTTTTTTTAAAAGATGACCAGTAAGGGGATCTTAACCCTCGACATGGCATTGTCTGCACCATGCTCTCCCAAGTGAGCCATGGGCCGGCCCCCCAAATAACAATTTTTTCAAAAGACTTGTCCAATAGTATTTAAAAAAAAGAAAAAAAACTATACATTGAGCACAAGAGAAACACATTAAATTCAACGATATGAACAGGTTGAAAGTTAATGAGGAGAAAAAGATATACAATGTTAAGCATAACCATAACACAGATACACCAGCTGACCATACTATTACCAAACAAATGAAATTACAACAAAATTGTTACTAGAAATAAAGAGGGTCATTTATGACAAAAGTGTCAGTTAAGAGGACGCCATAACAATTATAGGTATACATGCACCAAACAAATAAGTCCAACATCAAATAAAAATAATTAGAGAAGAAATTCAGGGTGAAACAAACTGTTCTATGTAAATATTCAGATACATCAAGCACAACTTTTGATATTTGATAGAACAAGACTGACACGGGTATAGAAGTCTTGGACAACATTATAAAACAACTTGAATTTACAGATATGTATATATAGACACAACACCCAACAACAGAATACCCAATCGATTCAAGCCCTTGGAACATACTCCAGGAAAGACCATCTGTGATGCCATAAAATATCTTCCAATAAATTTGAGGACTGAAATTAGACAGTGTATGTTCTCTGACCACAATAGATTTAAACAGAAAAATTAACTGAATGATACTTCAGTAGTTCACAACCACATGAAAGTAACAGAACAAACTCCCAAACTGCCAGTGAGCCAAGAGAACAACACTAAAATTTGAAACATTTTCACAAACAGTAATACAACATACCAAAATTTTAAAAGGGCTTAGAGTAAAATTTAAATTTGTAAATGTATACATTTTAGAAAGGAAAGTTCTGAAATCAATAGCCTAACCTTCCAACTAAAAACCTAGATAAAGGAGGAAAGTTAAACCTCCCAAAACAGAACGAAATTAAGACTAGAGCGAAAAAATGAGAAATAAATGATGGTGCTGTACTCTCTGCCCACTGTTACCAGAGATTTGGGGACAGAATGGTGGCAGATGGAAATGACCTCCCTGCCCAAATGGATCCCAAGGACCCTACCTCCAACCACACCCCTCAGGTTCTATTCTGGGCACCATTTTGTCTTACTTTCTCATCCCCTCTTTGGGGCCTGGGTCTCCCCCACAGCAAGGGCTCTGATGGCAGACAGGGAGTCACTACAGACTCAAGAAGTCTCCTTAGGTGAAAATAGGCTCTGGGGCCATCTCTAGGTCTGGAGGACTACACACAAGCACAGCCATACACAAAGCAATACACAAGTAGAGTCGGGATTTACCTTAGTGGCAAGATTCAAAATAACAGAAACACAAAAATCTCTTAGCTATAGGGTATGTGGTACACACTCATACATATGATTTGGCACCATTTCAAAATATGAGGAATAGGTATAAAAGATAAGTATCCCTTCCATACACTGCTTTTCACTAGGAAAACCACTACTGCTTACAGCTGTTTAAATAAGATCAAACAAGTTGTTTAAAATTATTTGCCTGTGAATTTGTGCATTCACATAGAAATGTTTCTATTCAACCCATAGACTCACTTTGAATTAGCTTCAAACATCATAAAAAATTACCTTTACTTAGTTTTGTAATACTGGTCATAAAAACTTACCTAAAATGGGAGTAGGAAAAAATCTGGGCTGGCCCATGGCTCACTTGGGAGAGCATGGTACTGATAACACCAAGGCCATAGGTTCAGATCCCTATATAGGAATGGCTGGTAAGCCCACTTGGGAGAGCATGGTGCTGACAACACCAAGTTAAGGCTTCAGATCCCCTTACTGGTCAACTTCTATTAAAAAAATAATCTATGGGCCGGCCCGGTGGTGCACTGCTACAGTGCGCCGCTTGGGAGTGTGGTGGCGCTCCCGCCGAGGGTTCGGATCCCACATGCAGACCGGTTCCCGCTCGCTGGCTGAGCGAGGGGCAGGCGCGGCGCTGAGGGTTGCGATCCCGTTGCCGGTCCCGGTCCTGTGCGGGCGCGACACTGAGGGTTGCGGTCCGTTGCCGGACATGAAAAAAGACAAAAAAAAGGGAAAAAAAGAATAATCTATATAGTGCAGTATCTTAGTATATTTACAAAATATACTGAAGTTGTAGTGGCAATTAATGTCAAAAATCCTGAAGAGAGCCACAACAAATTATATATTATACTATGTGTACATATTCCCTATCCACAGTTATGCTGGGTTCCATTAAGAAGCATTTTTAACAAACATTTTTATGCATAAATGTTGCATGTGAGGTGGCTTTCTTTTGCATTGTAGGCTGTTTACCAACATCTGTATCTTCCCACTCAATGGAGTAGCACTTCCCAACCTTCAGTTATGACAACCAAAAATGTCTTCAAACAATGTCCCCTGAAGGTAGTGTCACCAATCATATTTAAATATTGGTAACTCAAAATGTTAAAAATACTTTTAATATTCCATTTATCATTTCTACTTGAAAATTTACATTTATTACATAGTTTTCTCTTCATTTCAAATTCTGACATAAAAAGTGTTGAAAGTTTTCTTGAAAGCTTTGACAAATTTAGAAAGACATTTATTTTCACTGTTTAATAAGCTGTCCCAATAAGAAGTGTCACATCTATTGCATTCTTTCTCCCCATAATTTGATTTTCCCACAAACTGACTTGGGTATAAATGGTGACAACACAAGATTCTCTTCCCATATAAAAGGACTGGCAAATCCTCTCAGAAAGTCTATAAAATCATTTAGATGGAGTGCACCTCTTGTGTTGTAAGGCAAACAGGGCACACATAAAATGGCTTAACAGGAAATAATTTCTTATTTAATGTGTAAAAAGAGGTTTTGAGGTAGTAGTGAGAATATCTCTGGTTTTTTCAATTTCCTCTATTTTAAATTAGGGTGGATTTCTTTCACCCGTGGCCCCCAACTGCACCCAAGAGTCATCTTTATTCAGTTGCAAATAACATGAGAAATCAGGAACTGAATGGAAAATTTTTTTTATTTTGTTGCCTGAACTGGAAGTAATGTTCACCACTTATATCTACATTCCCCTGAACAGAGTTAAATTACATGGTCATCCACCCAATCATGGAATGCTCAGATTGCAGGCTAAGCAAACAAGAGAAAAGAGTGGTTTTACTTTTTAAAAGACACAGTCAGTTTAATCCATGGAGAATTTCTCCCCTCTTTAAATCCTCTAATGCCTGCTATGATGTGATTCCTTTTTATTTTTATTGATTTATTTTTTGGTGCAGTATTTATTTTTTGGTGCATGGCTGGTATGGAGTTCATTTGTGTTAAGAGCACCAATGTTACAAGCAGAAATGCTCTAACCACAGGCAGCTTTGAGACTTTGGAGAAAAGATGTTTTCACACTCATTACAGTCCTCCTTCCACAGCTGAGGGTTACACATCTGGTGATTCAAGAAACTACTTATCAAAAATCCTCAAAAGTGAATAAAAACAATAAATGAAACAATTCTACAACTGAAAAACACAGTATAACAACGATTTACATAGTATTCACATTTTTTCCAGTATTATAAGTAATCAACACAAGATGTAAAATACACAGCAGGAAGTGAATTGGTGATACAGACACTACAACATTTATAAAAGGGACTTGAGCATCAGCAAATTTTTATATCAGTAGGGGATCCTCAAGACATTCTTCAATACCTCAGGACAACTGTATATTTATACGTCTCTCCTGATACAAGTTCTCTGATGTCTTGAGGTATGTCATCTGGAAAATTCTTTTCCCATACAAATTACATTCACTGGGATTTTCCTTTGTGTGAATTCTCTTTTATCTGTTAGGGGGAATTTCAGTTCAAGGCCTGTCATATTGCATTCATAAGGAGTTTCTTCTTCTGTGAGTATCCTGATGTCTTCTCAACTGTGACATTGTAAAAAAAAACCTTTTTCCACATTCATATGGTTTCTCACGTCTGTGAATTCTCTGATGCATGCTGAGGTGTGACTTAAGCTTAAAACCTTTTCCACATTCTTTACATTCATATGGTTTCTCACCTGTGTGAATGCTCTGATGTCTGCTGAGGGATGACTTTTGGTTAAAAGCTTTTCCACATTCTTTACGATCATATGGTTTCTCACCTGTGTGTATTCTCTGATGCAAGCTGAACTGTGACTTTAACTTAAAAGCTTTTCCACATTCTTTACATTCATATGGTTTCTCACGTCTGTGAATTCTCTGATGCATGCTGAGGTATGACTTTTGGTTAAAAGCTTTTCCACATTCTTTACATTCATATGGTTTCTCACCTGTGTGAATGCTCTGATGCATTCTGAGGTGTGACTTAAACTTAAAAGCTTTTCCACATCCTTTACATTCATATGGTTTCTCACCTGTGTGAATGCTCTGATGCCTGCTGAGTTTTGGCTTTTCCTTAAAAGCTTTTCCACATTCTTTACATTCATATGGTTTCTCGCCCGTGTGAATCCTCTGATGCCTGCTGAGGTATGATTTTTGGTTAAAAGCTTTTCCACATTCTTTACATTCATATGGTTTCTCACCTATGTGAATGCTCTGATGCATGCTGAGGTGTGACTTTCGATTAAAATCTTTTCCACATTCTTTACATTCATATGGTTTCTCACCTCTGTGAATTCTCTGATGCTTGCTGAGGACTGACTTTTGGTTAAAAGCTTTTCCACATTCTTTACATTCATATGGTCTCTCACCTGTGTGAATTCTCTGATGCATGCTGAGGTGTGACTTTTGGTTAAAAGCTTTTCCACATTCTTTACATTCATATGGTCTCTCACCTGTGTGAATTCTCTGATGCATGCTGAGGTGTGACTTTTGGTTAAAAGCTTTTCCACATTCTTTACATTCATATGGTTTCTCACCTGTGTGAATTCTCTGATGCATGCTGAGGTGTGACTTTTGGTTAAAAGCTTTTCCACATTCTTTACATTCATATGGTTTCTCACCTGTGTGAATTCTCTGATGCCTGCTGAGGTGTGACTTTCGGTTAAAATCTTTTCCACATTCTTTACATTCATATGGTTTCTCACCTGTGTGAATGCTCTGATGCATTCTGAGGTGTGACTTTTGTTTAAAAGCTTTTCCACATTCTTTACATTCATATGGTTTCTCACCTGTGTGAATTCTCTGATGCCTGCTGAGTTTTGGCTTTTGCTTAAAAGCTTTTCCACATTCTTTACATTCATATGGTTTGTCACTTGTGTGAATTCTCTGATGCCTGCTGAGGTGCGACTTTCGGTTAAAATCTTTTCCACATTCTTTACATTCATATGGTCTCTCACCTGTGTGAATTCTCTGATGCATATTGAGGGTTGACTTTTGGTTAAAAGCTTTTCCACATTCTTTACATCCATATGGTTTCCCACCTCTGTGAATTCTCTGATGCTTGCTGAGGACTGACTTTAACTTAAAATCTTTTCCACATTCTTTACATTTATATGGTTTCTCACCTGGATGAACGTTCTGGTGCATGCTGAGCTCTGACTTTCGATTAAAAGCTTTTCCACATTCTTTACATTCATATGGTTTCTCACCTGTGTGAATTCTCTGATGCATGTTGAGGATTGACTTTTGGTTAAAAGCTTTTCCACATTCTTTACATTCATATGGTCTCTCACCTGTGTGAATTCTCTGATGCATGCTGAGGTGTGACTTTTGTTTAAAAGCTTTTCCACATTCTTTACATCCATACGGTTTCTCACCTCTGTGAATTCTCTTATGATTGCTGAGGCGTGACTTTTCATTAAAAGTTTTTCCACATTCTTTACATTCATATGGTTTCTCACCTGGATGAATGCTCTGGTGCATGCTGAGGTCTGACTTTTGATTAAAAGCTTTTCCACATTCTTTACATTCATATGGTTTCTCACCTGTGTGAATTCTCTGATGCATGCTGAGGACTGACTTTTGAGTAAAAGCTTTTCCACATTCTTTACATTCATATGGTTTCTCACCTCTGTGAATTCTCTGATGCATGCTGAGGTGTGACTTTAACTTAAAATCTTTCCCACATTCTTTACATTTATATGGTTTCTCACCTGGATGAATGCTCTGGTGCATGCTGAGTTCTGACTTTCGATTAAAAGCTTTTCCACATTCTTTACATTCATATGGTTTCTCACCTGTGTGAATTCTCTGATGCATGCTGAGGTGTGACTTTTGTTTAAAAGCTTTTCCATATTCTTTACATTCATATGGTTTCTCACCTGTGTGAATTCTCTGATGCTTGTTGAGGTGTGACTTTAACTTAAACTCTTTTCCACATTCTTTACATTCATATGGTCTCTCACCTTTGTGAATTCTCTTATGCCTGCTGAGTTGTGGCTTTTGCCTAAAAGCTTTTCCACATTCTTTACATTCATAAGGTGTTTTCCCTGTGTGAGTTCTCTGATTCATTCTGAAGGACGGCTTAATTCTTTTTCTACATCCATTACTTTTGTGGGGCTTATCACTTGGGTGAGTTCTCCAATGCATACTGAACGCTGACATTTGGTTAAAAGCTTTTGAATTTTCCTTACGTTCATATGTTGTTTTACTTTTGTGAATTCCCTGATGCCTGTTGAGGGCTGACTTTTGGTTAAAAGCTTTCCCTGTAGATGTTCCCTCATATGAAATAAGGTATGATTGCTTGATAAAAGATTTCTGACACTCACTGCATTTATCATGTTTCTCTCCTGTGTGTATAATCTGATGTTGAGTAAGTCTAGCCTTTTTATAGGACATTTTCCCACAAATGATACATTGAAAAGTTTTCATCTCTACCTGAGCTATCTCGTGGGCAATGACAGATGACTTATCACAGGCTTTCCCATACTCACTATATTTACAAGTGGTCTCACCCATATGAGTTTTCTTATATGCAAATATTATTGGCACTGTGTTGGAGGATTGTCCTTTTCCACTATATTCAGAAAGTTGCCCAGCTGGAATCTTAGGATGCTCACTAAGATGCTCATGATGACTGTGTGATTCCTCAGATATATTATGCTCATCAGGTTTCTGTCCAGCAAACATGGCACTGGTCTCTGGAAGAACTGCATTCTGACATTTGTCAAACTCCTCATGCCCCACTCCTGAATAGTTTTCATTATTTATAACCAGATTCAAAATATGCATTGAATGTGCATTCACTGATTTTCCTAACTCCACTCTCTCCTCAGTTGATTGATTTCCATTGATGATTACACCTTGCCACAAGTGTCTACCATGACTTTCTTGGCTCCTCTCAATTAGGTCATTGATTATCTGGACATCTGAAATGACAAAAAAAAAAAAAAAAAATACTCATATCCATGAGCCACACATAAGCATATTTTATTGCATGCTACTGTAAAGGTAGAGAAGTTTCTCCCAACCCAAGTAATAAAAGATTTTATAAAAATCAATAGTTGCTTCAGAAGTATATGGGTTTTCTTTATACTGACATAATGTTATATTGTATTAGTATATTTTCTAACACTATGTCACATTCTTCTTTGCTTCTTCATTCACTTTCTTGTTTCTAAATCATGATGAAATATTTGATAATGTTTACCATTTTCCTAATTGCAGATTTCAAGTAATTGCTTATCACCTTCCATTTGTTTTTTTACCCTTTTTTCTTTAACTTTCTTTTATTATTACAGTTTTTACTCTATTTTTATAACAATAGTGGTTATCTCCTGCAGCTCTTTTTCTCATTCTTCAGCTTTGAATATGGCCAAGTTTTCCTTCATTGGCTACCTTCAGGTGCAGAATGATCCAATTTTTCATCACATATGGAGGAAAATGACTTAGGTTAAGAATTTTGCATTAATGTTTCTATACTTTTTACTCTTCCTTAGGAAATGGCTATACATGTGTGGAAGTTTTTGAAATAATAAAATCTCCTTTTTTACTTTTTACTCTCACATATGGAGGAAAATGACTTAGGTTAAGAATTTTGCATTAATGTTTCTATACTTTTTACTCCTCCTTAGGAAATGGCTATATGTGTGTGGAAGTTTTTGAAATAATAAAATCTCCTTTTTCCCTCCCTAAACAGAGCCTCCTACAAATTACTCATTTCACCTGACTTCCTGTGCTTCAAAAACCATTACTCTACAGGAAACTTCTGTCCACCCCTACAGGACACCCTTCTGGTCTAAAATATTTGGTTCTACAACCAAGCCTTTGCCACCATCTTTGAAAAAGGTGCTTTTGACTCCTTATAAAATCAACCTGGGGCCGAGCCCGTGGCACACTCGGGAGAGTGCAGTGCGGGGAGCGCCCCTGCACAGGTTCGGATCCTATATAAGGATGACCGGTGCGCTCACAGTGATCACTGGCTGAGCGTGGTGCGGCCAGTCTCAAAAAGGACAATAAAATAAAATAAAATAAAAATAAAAATAAAAATAAAAATAAAAATAAAAATAAATCAACCTGTATTATCTTCCCAAACTCTGGAACACACACTCCCACTTGATAATTCACTGCTCATGAAACCTTCACTATTATGCACTGGAGTTTTGGATGGCTACTATGCTCATAAAAAATAGAGTCTCCTGTATATTTCTAAATTTATTTGTCATTTTAGAATGATTTCTACAAAGAGAAGAGGAAAATACTAACTTCAAATTCCACTTCCAAACAACAATCTCAGTCCCTCAACTTGAAGCCCTCAATTCACTTAACCTTCATACCATGATTCTTCTGGTTCTTCTATAAAATCAAGAACTCTCCTTTTCCATGCCCTGTGCTAAGTCTGCCTCAGCTCCATAATTTCTGATGTGGTGGTATAGAAGACTCATATCTGGGCCTCTTTCCTTACTTTCTTATCAACTTTTTATGTGATATCCTACACTACTTTGGGATTCTGCCAAGAATCACCACCAAAACCAAGGCCCTTACTACACACAGCCCCTAGACCTTGGAATGCTCAGCCTCCAAAACAGAAGTGTAAGCTATAGAGTTTGTTTCTTCACAAATTACCCAGTTACGGATATTCTGTTTTAAGTAACACAAAAAGACAGAGTCTGAAAACCAATGTTCGTGAGCATGCAGGACATGAGGGCAACTGAGAATATTGAAAAGATGAATAGCAAAAATAAATGTCAAAGAAGAGAAATGTAGAGATTATATTTTAGGAAAATATATTGTTAAAAAACAGCAAAATAAAATATGGAGATATATATGTATGAGTCCATCTGAGAGATTATATAATACATGTGTTTAATGCAAGGAGATGAGCCAGCCTCGGCTCACGGACCTGTGGAATAACTGCTAGAAACAGCTGAACACAGTCAAGATCTGCTGGGATTTACTCTTCCTGGATTCTGTCCAGGATGTGCTTACTAACCTGGGAGGCACTGCTTTGGGTGTTCTTTACTTATCCATGGCTCTGCTCCTTTCTCCAACTTGAGTATCACCTCAGGTTTACTACTGCAGTACCCTGTTAATGGGAAGTAACATGCGACTTTTAAAACTGTAAAGCCAAAGCCTTGGAAGAATGACAAGAGCTCAGCTCCAGAAATTATACAATAAAGAGGCCGACTTGAAAGTTTTTAAAATAGGGATGACATGTTTTTCATGAAATGTAATTTTACCAAATAGCATAAAACCCTATAAATCATTCCTATTTTTATGAAAAAATAACAAAATGTTTCTCGTGAAAATTACTGGGGTGTTTCACTCACCCAATGACACCAGGCTGCTGTAGATCTCCAGCATCACATCCCTGTACAAAGTCCTCTGAGCATCATTCATGACCCTCCACTCCTCCCAGGTGAAGTCCACAGCCACATCCTCAAGTGACA